CCTGGAGGGCCCTGTGGGAGATCCCCGAGTGGCCAACCCTCTGAACTGAGGCCTGGGCTGCTATCTTTCTCCCTTTCTTTTCTCAGTATTGGGGGCCGCCTCCTACCAGGGTCTTCCCTAGACAGCCTCAGTATTGGGTATTTAAATCCTGTTACAGGACAGAGGCCTAGCTCTGGCTCCCCTCAGAAGCTAGGAAAGGACCTGTTCTCAGTGCCCAACTCAACAGCAGCTTTCACCCCAGCTCTTATCTTTCCCTGGGTGCCCCAACCTGGCCTTGGAGGACATTCCCCCTAGGCCTCATTCAGCTCCCTTCTACCTTGAGTTCATTACTGTTGATCGGCTGGAAGACAGCTGTGGCTACTGCTGCCTGTGGCCTCTCGCCTTCTCCATTCCATCCTTACATAGGTAATTACACAGAACTCTCCGCCCTAGCCCCTTTGTGGCAATCTTGCTGGTTGAGACCGTGTCTTGTCCCTTCTCAAGTCTCATCTGGGCAATCCTGCCTTTCCCCAGCTCCACAGCCTCCTCTGTCATCCATGAATCCTCCAGAGCTGGCCTTCTGCAGGGCAGAGCCTAGGGGAGCCCCAGCCTCCTGTCCAGGACTCTGGGTCTCATCCAGGCCATCTTGGGCAGATGCCTGGCCCTGGCATCTGCCCAAGATGACCTGGATGAGGTTGGCCAGGCATCTGCCCAAGATGGCCCTAAAGGAGGATGGAGGTTCTCTGTCTTTGGAATGAGGCTGTTCAGGTCTGCCTGACCTGGGCCTTCACTCAGAGAGGACCTCCCACTGGCTCTTCTCTGACCTTCTCTGGAGAAGTTTCTCTCTTTTTATCATTCCTCAACCTGTCTTCCCCTCCCCCATCCCTCTGTTCCCACCCAGGAGCCAGAGTGACCTGAATTGGATGGTGATACTTCTGCTTATATCCTGCTTATGGATACGTAGTGCTCAAAATGAAGTCAGGGCCCTCAGCCTGGCCTTCAGGCCCCAGGCTGCTGGTAACCCTGCCCTGCCAGCTGCTGTGCCCTTCCTCTCCCTCTGCCAGTCCTGACCAAGCTCAGTTCCTCGAATGCATCCGTCACTCAGTGAATGCCTCTAGGCCTTTGCACACACTGTTCCCTCTTCCCAGAATACACTTTTCATCTCCTAGTCCTTTCATCTTTCAGACTCCTGACCATCCTCACCCTGGGCTGGGTTGCCTGTCTCATGTCCTGTGTCTGTGGTTCCTGTGTCCTGTTAGAACACTTGTTTCATGCTATAGGATAGTTACCCATGTCCCAGTCCCTCCTGGGGCATGGGGCATAAATCCTCCTCTCCCCACAAGGGAGGGGCCATGTATGTTCTGTCCTCCTGGTAGTGGGGGTCAGGAACTTGAGAGAAACTTGGGAAGGGAGATGAGACATTGGTCCTTATCTGAAGCACCCATGAGTCAGCACAGATGGTTAAAGGGCCTGTGGTCTGTGCAGCGAATGTGGGGGGAGAAGGGCACAGTTCTGTGCCAGGACTTCTAGGCCTCATGCCCTGATGGGCTGCCCTGCTGTTGTCTGCCTCCTGCAGTTACAGCTACATGATCGACAATGTGATCCTGCTCATCACAGGCACTCTGCACCAGCGCTCCATTGCTGAGCTCGTGCCCAAGTGCCACCCGCTAGGCAGCTTCGAGCAGATGGAAGCCGTGAACATTGCTCAGACACCTGCCGAGCTCTACAATGCCATTCTGGTGGACACGCCCCTGGGTGAGCCGCTTATAGGAGATGGGCAGTGGTGTCAGCATCAGTGCCTCAGTGTGGCATCTGTGGACCTCCAAGGGGTGGGTTGGGGGCGTGACCCTGAGCCAGAAAGTAAGGTCTGCCTGTTGCTGCTTGCCTTTGTCTCCCCTTAACTTCCTTCCCCTATTTACTCCTCTTTGTCCCTTCCTCCTCCTTCTCCCTTTTTCCTGTTGCTTTTGCTGGGCCAGGCAGGCTACTCCAGCATCTGATTTGGATCATCTAAATATGTCAAGCAGACTGATTTCTTAGAGTGTAGAGAAGAGCTGAGCTCTGAAAGTGGAGTGAGAGAGAGACAGAAGTCCCTTGGAGCTCTAGGAGCTCTGACAGACTATGGCCCCAAGCTGGAACCTGAGCAGAGTCAGAGTGGCTGGCTGCCCATGAGGCAGAGGAGGGAAGCAAACAGCTTCACTTACCTCCACTGAGCAGGTTCCAGGGGCCAGGTCAGACTGTCCGGCAGGATGCAGGGTTCATGTCAGAAGCCTGTAATCGCAGCACTTTGAGAGGCCAAGGCGAGAGGATTGCCTAAGCTCTGGTGTTCGAGACCAGCCTAGGCAACTTAGTGAGACCTCGTCTCTATAATAAATAAAAAAATTAGCCAGGTGTGGTAGTGCAGGCCTGTAGTTCTAGCTATTTGGAAGGTTGAAGTGGAAGGATCACCTGTGCCCAGCAGGTCAAGGCACAGGCCGTGAGCTTGCCACTGCACTCCAGCCTGGGCAACAGAGTGAGACTCCAATTCCAAAAAAAAAAAAAAAAAAAAACCAAAAAAGCCAAGGATGGGAGGGGCATCGGGAGCTTCCTGCAGGACCCTGCCTAGGCAGTGCTGGCTCCTGCCTGCCTAGGAAGCTGAGAAAAAGGCACTTAGGTCATAACCAACTGGTGCTCTCATAGCCAGAGTCCTGGGCCAGGCCTGGAGCACTACTTCCAGGAAGATACCAGGGTTGAACCACAGGACTCTAAGCTGCACTAGGTCCTGAGCCCTACCTGCTGACCTTGTCCTCTATAGACTCTACTAGCAACTCTGAAGTAGTTCTGGGCTGTTTGTGGCTGCTTCAGTTTCTCCATCTTTAAAGGAGAGACAGACCAGTGAGTCTGCAGGCCCTCTTGGGAGATGAGAATGCTCTATCCTGTTACTGCTGCTTCTTACAGACCCACATGGCCCCCTGGGTCAATGATCCATGCCTACCCAGCTGTTGAACTCATTCTTGTCCTAAGGAGGAGGCTAGTTTTCCAAGTGTGGGCACCAGGCCTTCCTGGGGGATGCAGAGAAGTAGGCGTCAGGGCCCAAATCCATGCCTGCCCCTGGAGAAGGGAGGATGTCACGGCCTCTTATGCAAGCCTGACTTTGGCGTGGTCTGAACTTGGGTCTGCCCCAGCGATGATTAGATCATGTTATGGCTAGCCGCCTCCTTTATAAATCAATTTTAGGAGCAAGGAGGCAAGAGAAGCTCAGGTCAGTGTGCGTGGCCCAGACTATTGCTTCTGCTACTTCCAAGGCAACAGCCCAGGCTGGGGGCCCCCCAGTACCCAGCTCAAAGGGCCTTGTGGCAGGGGCCTTCTGTGCCCTGAAGAGTACTCGAACATCAGGGTTCTGATCTAGGCCACTTGCCCCCTCCTCATACCCATGTATTTCCTCCCCAGCGGCTTTTTTCCAGGACTGCATTTCAGAGCAAGACCTTGATGAGATGAACATCGAGATCATCCGCAACACACTCTACAAGGTAGTGCCCTGCACATGTGGGGGATCGGCCTTTTGGTGGGGTGGCTGTGGAACGTGGTGGGATGGTGATTTATATGAGGTACCGGGGCAGGACACAGTTACTCTAGGCTTCTGTCCTGGTGGCTTATCTGCTCACTCTCTGGCTCGTGTGATGGATGAAAGGCTGCATGGAACAGGTTCTCTATCCTTCGGTGCCTGCAGCAGGCTCAGATAACATCAGCAGGAGTGACTGGCACTCTGCTGCTTGGCCTGTTAGAGCTGGCTCCTGAATAGCTGCTCCCCCCGCCGCATCCAGGAGGGTCACAGGTCACCACTCACGCCATAACTTTTAGACCCACAGTACCTGGGATATTACCAGGTACAAGCACTTGAGCAAAGGCAACAATGTACTTAGTTATGGTTGGGGGAGGGACCCACCCAGGCATAGCTAGGGCCTCATGTCTCTTTCAGGTTCCTAAACTTGGGAGCTCGTGTCACTTCTCCCATCCACACTCGCTACCCACCTTCTGCTTCCCACCAAGCTGTAGCATAGACTGGGTGACCTCCGAGGTTAGAGGGTGGTCTTAGAATTCCCGGGTCAGTGCTGCCCTGGCCATAAGAGATTAAGAGCCAGGGACCAGTTAGGGATGTTTGGAACAGACTGTGCTCTGGCTACAGTGAGGTACTGAACCATGGTGCTGGGACCCTGGATGGGCTGTAGTGAGGAACATGGGCAGGACCCCAAGGGGGTGCTGAGGATGGCACTGGCCAAGTGACCTGCTGATGTAATCCTGAGAGCATATGTCAATTGGGTCTTTACGGTGAGGGTCCTCTCCTACCCTGGTTGGAGCTAACTGACTGACATTCAGCTGCAGCCTGACCCAAGGCTCTGCAGTCTCCCAGCAGGGGCTAGTTCAGAGCGCACTGAAGGTCTGGTGGTAGGGGAAGGGCCTTCCTGAAGGTTGTAATGGTGTAGGTAGGGGACCAGCATGTGCAGAAAAAAAGCATGGAGAAGTGGCAAGCAGTTTGCTGTGGGAGTGAACATTCTAGGTGCACAGTAGGAGAGAGATCTAGAAGGGGCAGGTACAGGATCGAGTTACCCAAGGACTTGAATACCAGACCAGAAATTTGAACTTTATCCTGTGCATAGGGTCAGCTAATAAAGGTTTCCAACAGAGCAGAGACTGCTCAGAAAACCCCCTCGGGCTGCAATGTGGAGGGCAAATTAGAGGGATGATGCCATAGGTAGGAAGGCTATTGGCTTCTTTAATCCTCAGGACCACTCTGGGATCTGGGGAAGTTTCATTATCCCCATTGGAAAATGGGGAAACTGAGGGCTTAGAGAAGTGGGGTGGGTTGCCCAAAGCCAGAATCACACCTGGCTCAGCCTGTTTGCAAAAGTGAGTACTCTCACCCACCCTACTAATGGGGAGCAGGGCAGCCAGTCAGCGGAGGGGTGTGTGTACACACATATACACACACACACTCCTAGTGCTTCCACCCACCTAACTGGCCTGTTGCCGAGTTCCCTGCCCTGAGACAGAGTGAGGGGTGCGGCTATCCCCCCAGCCTCTCCCACACTCTCACTGGGCCTGACTGGTTCTAACTGGAGTTACTGGCTAGGACTGCCCAGACACCAGCTCGTAAACATCGACCCAAGGCTGTGGGCCCTGTGCCAGGACTGCTAGCCTGTCAGGCAATGTCCCAGCCCGGTGGCCACAGATAGGAGATTAGGCGGACCCTCAGCTGCCCAGCGGGTGGGAACCATAGGCAGCTGGTGCAGCAGCCATGGGCTGGCAGACTCCAGGGAACAAGGTGGGGGTGGGGAGGTGACCATGGCACCTGGGTTTCTGGGGGATCTTGCTAGTTTCTTTAGCTGCCCTATCTTCCAGAGGAGAGTCTGGGCCTCTCCTACCAGCCTCCCTGACCCTGGGGCCCACCTCTCCAGGTATTGGTGCAGCTTGACTTAGCAAATGGGTGGGCAGCAGAACCTGGAGCCCAACACCTGACTGGTAGCTTCCCCCAAGATAGGAACTACAGGCCTCACTGAGGTAGGCCTGGGCATCCACTAGGATAAGGCTGGCCACAAGGAAGGAGGTGGGTGGGGACAGATTCCTAGAGGGACTGAAAGGTACCACCAAGCCAGACCCTCTGACTGCTGGGATCCTCTGTGTTGGGGTCCACCCTCCCCTCCAGGCTTCTTACTCCCTGCCCCATCCTAGACTTTTGTTTTTTGTGACCCCAGTGGTGACCCTCAGTCTTTGCCTGAGCCCAGCTTGCTTAGTGTTGCTAGCCAGGCCAGGCCTGGGCTTATGAACTCCTAAGTCTTCATCACATCTCTCTTGGGGCAGAAGAACCTTCGAGTACAAGTCAGCTGGTGGTTGGTGGAAAGGTCTCCACACATTGGAGGTCAAATCTCAGTGTGGAAAGCTTTCCGTAACTCTCAGCCCTTGCCTCCAACTTGGAATAGTCTCTAGCCTGTGGAGTCAGAGTTTCTGTGACCATGCCATCAGATGGTACCTGAGGGGCCTTAGTAGAGGATGTCCATTGCAAGGGAGCTCCCCACAGGGCCTGTAAGACCATCCACCTTCCTTGGTGTGGAGAGGTGTGGGGAAGGGAGCCTGGCTGGTTTGGTGAGTGAGTGATGGGAGGGACCTGGGGCTTAGGCTGACCTGTCCTTTCCTTGTGCCCAGCAGATCCAATTTGCCAGGGCAGGAAGTGCTTGTTCCTGCCAGCAGCCCATGTGCCCAGCCATTGCACTGTGAGGCTGATGTCCATGTAGGCAATAACCATCCCTCAGCAGGAACTGACCTGACAATTTGGTTTTTGTTGTGTGATGCCTGGGGTGGGTGAGAGGAGGAGGTGTTCTGTAAAGTAGGGTGCAAAGAGGGCCAGGGGCACTTAGTCCAGGCCACTTCTGTGGCTTCTCAGGAATAACCTTCCCTCACCAGCCCATGGACACCTGGTTTTCTGAGGCTAAGGAAGGGGAAGTTTGGGGAAAAGGCAGAGCAGCCAGGCGTGGTGGCTTATACCTATAATCTCAGCACTTTGGAAGACTGAGGTGAGGATTGCCTGAGCCTACAGGTTTGAGGAAGGCAGGTGGAGGGAGAGGTCCCCTCCAAGCTTGGCCCTCTGTGGGATAAGTGGGTGGGGAAACTGCACCCTTAAGCAGTCGACCAGACACTGCCTTGTCACCCACCATGAAAGGGGCTGGGGAGGAGAACTAAGAGTGGGGGACCAGCAAGCTCTCCAGTGTTTCCCTTCTAGTGCTGAGCAAGCTCCTTTACACAGGCCTACCTGGAGTCCTTCTACAAGTTCTGTACCCTACTGGGCGGGACCACAGCTGATGCCATGTGCCCCATCCTGGAGGTGAGTTCCTCCCTGCCCTCCTGCCTGCTGGTGGCCACTAACCCTGGCCTGGGGAAAGCCCTTCCAACTGACTGGCAACTGCCTCCCTCTTTCTCTGGCTCTTGTTGCCTGTACACCGGCCCCAGTTTGAAGCAGACCGCCGCGCCTTCATCATCACCATCAACTCTTTCGGCACAGAGCTGTCCAAAGAGGACCGTGCCAAGCTTTTTCCGCACTGTGGGCGGCTCTACCCCGAGGGCCTGGCTCAGCTGGCTAGGGCTGATGACTATGAGCAGGTCAAGAACGTGGCCGATTACTACCCGGTGAGTGCCCTGGCTGGCAGGATGGTGGGTGGGCATGTTGATATCACACATCTCCACCCCACGTCCCCAGCACCTCATGCTCTTGCTTCCTACCACTCCCCTGGCCAGGAGTACAAGCTGCTCTTCGAGGGTGCGGGCAGCAATCCTGGAGACAAGACCCTGGAGGACCGATTCTTTGAGCATGAGGTGAGTGCAGGGATCTTGTAGGACCTGCCCATCAGAGGAAGGAGTTGGTGGCTGAGGCCTGACTCTGTGACCGTGGCCACCTGTACACATCTGCCTTTATCCACAGGTGAAACTGAACAAGTTGGCCTTCCTGAACCAGTTCCACTTTGGTGTCTTCTATGCCTTTGTGAAGCTCAAGGAACAGGAATGTCGCAATATTGTGTGGATTGCTGAGTGCATCGCCCAGCGCCACCGCGCCAAGATTGACAACTACATTCCTATCTTCTAGCGTGCCGGTCCAAGGCTCCCGAGTGCACTGTGTGTCTGTGGTTTGTGATGAAGCCCATGGCTTATCGGCCTGCCCTGGGGAGTAGCACACTGTCGTAGTGGCTGTCCAGCTTCCCTGACCCTAAGACTGCTCTTAGCCTGAAAAGGGGCTGGACACCTGTTCCCCCCCATTAAGGATGGACCAAGAACCCCTCCAGAGCAAGGAGGCCCCCTCAGCCCTATGTTTACAGCCGCTGACATGTCTGAGAAGCATGTGATCACTTTCATGTCCCTCTCTAGCCTGAGAACCCCTGGAGGCAGTGTGAGCCTCCTTTTCCCTCTGTGGGTCACCCCAGAGCCATGGCCCATGGGAAGAATAGTGTGTGTGTGTTCTTGGAGCAAGGGGGAAGTAGCTCTGCAGCCTCTTCCCTCAGCTCTGACTCTCTAAGACAATAAAACTGTCCTCTCCAAGCCTAGCTGTCTGCTGTCCTCTTTGGGTCGGACCCCTTGCTTTCCTCATGACTTCACCCTTGTTGAGCCACACCTACCTAAGCCCTTATCGCCCTCCCTCAGTCAGCAGCACAGATTCCTCAGGGTGGGAGGAGGAGCCACTGGAAGTTAGCTCCTTCCTCTGCTGGATACTTTGATACTGGCCCTGGAGGGCTCCCCAGCTTCTGTAATTGCTTCGTTGAGCCTTATAACTCCTTGGGATCAGGATCTCTTTCCTATTTCACTATGAAGAAACCCAGACCAGTGGGTAAATTCCCAAGGGCAACGGGGGAGGAGGATGTGTGAACCACAGAATCTACCTGGGGAGTCCAGTCGGCCAAGGGTGTCCAGAGCCCCAGTTCCCATGCTGAGCCCCAGGAGTTCCCAACCTGTCAACCTGCCACACCCTGTCACCCAGCCAACCAGGCGGTTACCTCCAAACACAGCATCTACCCCATTCTAGGAGAAATAAAAATTTGTCTTTATTTAAAAAATGGCATTCAGGAAGTAGGGTATGCAGTTTCCCTGTGGCTTGTGGAAGGAGGGGTGAGTATTGGGGCCCTAGTTCTTGAACCAGTCAAGAGACAGTTGTGATTTATCCTTCAGTTGCAGCACTGAGATACTAGTGCCGAGAAACAATCCTGAGGGGGTCCTCAACCCACCCAGTCACTCCTTAGTGTGCAGAGGCACTATCTGCAGAGTCCTGTCGAAGGCTACAGTGAAGTCTTGCGTTAAACTCTCCCTCCAGCTGAGCTGTCCAAGCTGCAGGGTAGAATATTGTGCCCAGAAGGGTCTATTTGGGCTCATAAAGCAGGAGAGAGAGGCCCAAAGGCTCACGGGGAGACCTCAGCTTCACCAAGGTCTGCACTGGTCACTGGCAGTTGGGGAGGGGGCTGGGGCCAGACTCTAGGGCAAACTCAGGGGCTCCTAATGCCCAGGGGAGGGCCAAGGGCTCATGGCACCTCCTGTGCTGAGCAGCCGGGCCGCATATGCACACGGCTCACCAATCCATCTCTGGGGAAGGGCCTGGGCTCAGGTTTGGGTCCTGGGCTCCATCCTCCAGGCGGTTGGGGCCTGGCTGACCCGGCTTCAGTGCTCGAGGCAGACAGTGACGGATGAAGAAGCACTGCAGAAAGCAGCGCCGCAGGCCCTCAGGCAGGTAGTAGTGGATGAAGTACATGAGCCACACGCCTTGGCCTGGGTAATAGCGGCGGCGTGGTTGAGCTGCCAGCAGCGCATCTGTGATGGCATCTACAACTGGGCTGAGGTCTGGCAGCGCCAAGTGTAGGGAGTGCAGGAACTGCCTGTACAAGTGCTCGATGTAGTCCTCACCATAGGCCTGCAGCAGCTCTTCAGGCAGGTTGGCCAGCAGCAGTTGCTTGCACTTCTCCCACTGACCCACGTTTGTAACTGACTCTGGGGAAGCAGAGGCAAGGTCAGAGCAGGATCAGCTAGGGGAACCAAAGCCAACCTGGTCTGTTTAACTGGGCCTCGACTCCCAGCCAAAGCCACATTCCCAGTCAAAGCCATGCCCATTTCGAACCTGACATGCCCACCCCTCATTTTCCAGCCCTAGACCCAGGCGTGCCCCAGCTCCAATGGTGACACCCACCTGTCTTGAAGCAGCCAGGCTGGATGATGCTGACCTTGATGCCCCAGGGAAGGAGTTCACAGCTGAATGTGTCCATAAGCAGTGCCATGGCCGCCTTGGAGGTCCCATAGGCCGCCAAGCATGGATATGGCATGTCTCCTGGGGACGGATTTGCTCAGCCTTGGCAAAGGGCTCTTCAAGCCCTCCCTTGCCCCGAGGTGACTGCTTTTCTGCTTCATGCTAATGGGGTTGGACACTCACCTGCTGGGCTGCCTATAGTCACGATGCGACCCCTGGAGCGCCGCAGGAGGGGCAGGAGGCCCTTGGTCAGCTCTAGCACACCAAAGAAATTCACCTCCATGCAGCTGCGGAATGCGGCCACCGGAGACAGTTCTGCATCGGCCACTATGTCATTGTGGCCTGCATTGTTGACCAGGCCCCACAGACCTGGTCACAGAACAGAGAAGGAAAGCCTCAGATCAGCTCAGCGGCAAATCTCTAGACCCTGCACCCTTCCTACCCACCCAGCCTAATGCAGATTCGCCACTGACCTGTGCTGGTGGTGTGGGCCTTGGTGAACTCCAGGACACGACTAATGTCCTCTGGCTTGGTCAGGTCCATCTGCAGCAGCCTTAGGCGAGGGGAACAGCAGGCGCGCAGCTCCAGGGCACCAGGGCTATTTAACTCCAACACGGTGGCCAGCACCGTGAAGCCCATAGAGTCAAGTTTCTTGGCTGTCTCCTTGCCAAAACCAGAGTCACAGCCTGCCCAGGGCAGGGCAGCCAGTGAACTCCCACTGTGGCCTCAACTGGCCCGAGACAACCCCAGAATCATCAGATGGGATCCGAGCCCCTGGACACTCAAGCCACCAGCAGTCAACAGCACTAACTGCTTCCCTAGGTCTGTCTCTGGCTGAGTTTGCCCCTCTAGCTGAGGTCTGATCACCAACTCCATGACAGTTGTCATTTCCCTGACTCCCCATGGCTACCCCATCAAACATGGCATACAATCCCCACTTTACAGAAGAGGAAACTAAACAATGCTAAATTGCTTCCCAAAGCCACCCGGCCAGCACACCAAAAGTCCTTCCATCTGCTCGATATCAGGCCATAGCTTGCAGACACAGTATTAGTGTACAGCCTCCCTTTCTTTCTGACTGCCCTTTGCCAGCCTTCTCCTCCCTTTACCTAGACACTGAAACAACCCCCTCTCTAGTCCTGTCCCTTCTTGCCCCCTTAAATTCATTTGCTCCCTCAGCAGCTACAGGCATCTTTCCAAAAATGACAATATCACTCTGCTGCTGAAAACCTTTCCAAGGCTGCCCGCAGTCCTCAGGATGAAGCCCAAGCTCTCTGGCTCAGGCCCTGTACAACCTGAGCTCCCTTACCCGCAACACCCCCTACTATTGTTCCAGGCTGGAGGCAAGCTGTAGGCCCAACCCCACCTCACCTCTGACCTTCCACTCTTGGAATTCCAATCAGTGTCAACAGCGGGGTGTTTTCTGAGCCTTAGACCGCTTGCCCCCAGGACAGGAATCATGATGGATGGAGAAGAGAACAGACCCGCATTTGAATTCCTTCCCACACCCACCAAGTGTGACAGAGGCCAGTTACTACTCTTGGAGGCTTAATTTCCTGTCTTTTGGTATGCAGAGAGAATCACCAGGCAGAGCCAGCTTGGGGGTCTGTGGTGCCTTGATTGTTCCCATTCTGTTCCTAGCTCCCTAGGCAGCCAGTGAGGAGAAGCGAAGGGTCAGTGAGGAAGGAGGCTCTCTGGAGCCCGCCCCCCACCCCTGCCCCCAGTGGTCCTGCCAGGGAATATAAGCTGCAAAGTGACTCTGCTTCCCTAGTCCTGGATGGCTAAGCACCAGTTCCCATCTCAGTCCCGCCTCCTCTGCTGAGGCAGAGAACAAAGCTGGGCAGGGGGCTTCAAGCTGGGCTTTGTGTGGCTACAGCCTGTGCCGAAGGGTCCTCCCCAGCAAGTCTGGCTGGGGAGAGATGAGTGAGCACTTATGCACGTGGCTCTTGCTTTGGCTCCCTCCCAGAGAAGATATACCCTCCCAGGGAAAACTAAGGCCTCCCAGACCCTCAGTTCTGTGGTTTCAGCACAGTCACTCATATTTTACACACCCTCTTGCTCACCTGCACACACTCAAATACCTGTGCATACCTGCTTGGGTGTTCTCACACGGGCTCAATCCCTACACAGATATGTCCCAAACCCAGCCGCGATATGCACACAGATATGCACATGTGTGCACATGAGGCAAGCCACGGCTGAGCTCTGTGAGTAGCCTTGGCAAGTGGTTCCCAGGGGCGCTCCCAGCAGGGGGTAGGGGGCAGCTCTGGCAGGCACGAGACAGTATTCTTGGCAGGTGGGGCAGGGCCTGGTCACCTATTTGTCTTGCAGCAAAGTGGTGAGAGAGGCAACCCCAGAGTTTTCAGGCACTGGAAAGCTTAGAGACCAGATGCTTACACAGGATGGGCTGGGATGTCTTCTTCCCCCCCTCTGCCAGCTTTGCAGCCAGGGATAGGGGGTGTCTAAGTCACCACAAAAAGCATCCCTCCTCTCACCTGCCTCTCAGGCTCAAGGCTAGGAGAGGTAACAACAGCAGCACAAAGGCCTGAGGTGAGATCTCGGGGAAGATTGCCTGGAGGGGCCACTAGCACCTGCAGGCAACCTGGATCCTGTTCAGGCAGCTCACATATTAGAAGGCAGGAGGGGATCTGCCCTGTCCCTGGTGGCAGAGCCCACAACCTAGCCCCTGCTTCATACCAAAAGGGTCTGTTGGCTTTCCTTCCTCAGACCCCTGAAACTGGGGCCCCTGAGGCTTCACATTGTACCCTGAACCTGGGTCTCTCCCATCTAGCCTGAGCCCTGTGTCATCTCCATCATCTTTGCTGATGCCCAAAACCCTCATGCCACCCTCACCCACTGACCCTGCCTCAGCAGTCCGCCTTCTTACCTGACATTCAAGGCCTCTCCCAAGGAAACAACCCCAGATCCCACCACACCCCCAAAGCCAGACTGACTGTCCCCTACCGAGGCCATGCTTATTCCTGCCTCAACCCTTTGTCCCACACTCTTTCTCTGATCCCAGATGCCTTTCATACTCCACCTATCTCCACTCATCTCCTGAGGCCCAGCTAGGAATTTCATCCTTCAGAAAGTTCTCCCAGCCCCATCTGATCATGCAGGGCCCTCTACTGGACCAAGGCTTCTGAGAGGCCAGTTTGCGGACTGTCCCCAGCCCAGGCCCAGTGCAAAGAGCCCAGAGCACCTGTCTAAAGCCATGAGGACTGGGAGAGAGACTAGTCTGCCCCTCCCCCCATACAAAGGAGCCAGTGCCCCCTGGCCTTTCTCCCCCTCCCCACTTCCGGCTGGGCCTCCAGCTCCCTTCCCCCTTCCCTCCCTCTGGTGACAGATTTATTCCTCGTTCCAGACAAAGAAAGCTCAGCCAGGCGGCCAGAGTCACCTGAGCCCAGCTCTCCAAGACCTTCTTGGGCACTGAGGGCCAGGAGGGATGGGGGTGGGGTGTTGGGTACAGACTCTGGACTGCCACCTCAGCAGTTTGGTGGTGGGTGGCTGGACTTGGGAGGCAGCAGAATGCCCAGCTGCCCCTCGTGGTGACCCCAAGCTTTTCTGAACTCCAAGGATCCCAGCCAATCCCAGCTAAGCTATTTCTCTGGCCCCAGAAAATAGGAGATGGGGTGTCCCACGTGGGAGTTTCAGGCAGAGTTTAAGGTGCTACAATCCTCCCTTCTCAGGCCCTCTACAGTCTCTCAGAGCATTGTCCCCTGCCCCAAGACTGCTCTCTTGGGGAGGGGCATGGCATCAATCCCCAAGCTCCAGGAGGCTCCCCTTTCTTAGCCACCAGTTTTCTTTGCGCACCTGCCCACTCCCTGCCTCGCTTTCTCTCCAACATTCCCCGCAGCAGCAGGTAGTTAACCCGGACTTGGGGAGGTCCCGGGCGCTTCCTTACTTGGCTCACTCCCTGCACCCAGGGCAGAACTCTCCCACTCCTGCGCCGGGGAACCCGCCTTGGCTGTGCCCATGGGAAGTCCTCTGAGTGTTCAGTCCCGCCCTCGAGCCCGAACTCCCCGCGCTCCGCGCACTCACCGGTGATGAGCACCGCGCGAGTGGCCACCGGCAGGCGCAGCGGGCGCGCCAGGCGGGACAACGCGATCCAGCCAGTGGCGGCTAGCACGGCGAGTGCGGCCGGCGGGGGTAGCAGGCGCTGGCACAGCCAGTCGAGCGCGGCCAGCAGCGCCAGCGCCGCCAGCAGCGGGCGGCCCAGACGCAGGTCTGCGCGCAGCAGCTGCAGCAGCGCGCGGGCAGCCACGAGCAGCCAGGCGCCGCCCGACGGCCACGGCCAGCGCTCCATGACTGTCGGGCCGGGCCGGGCCGGGCCGGGCCGGG